TAACCGTCAAGTACTAGTTCCAATCATAACTAAAGCAAGTTTCAGCCTCAATAGTGCCGTTTTTCTGCGAAAACGCAAAGATAAACCGCTAAAAGATGGGAAAACGATTATCGCCGTAACCAAGAACATACCAAGGAACACATTGTTTAAATAAAATAAGCTTTAATGATGCACGTACATATAGAGAGTATATGTACGTGTATCTTATTATTAGCAGCATTTAATAACCCATAAGTAACACTACAAACTGGCATTCACAAACCGCCGACACACGCTAAATGCAAAAATTCAATGCTCCAGAGCCTCGAAAACCCGAAAGTCGACATTTTTCAAAAAACTAGTTTTGTCCGTAAGTTTTGCTGACTTTTCTATAATAAATAACGGTACTTATCGATTGGAGGATTGGGATGCGACCAATTATTGAATGTCTGCATAAGTTCGCTACTAAATAGTATTTGTTCATAACAATCTTTGCCATTTGCCAACCATTTGAAAGATCAATTCAACCTCTACAAATACCATAAACCAAAAGCCACACAACAACATCTCTATCGACTTTCGAGGCATGTTATTGTGAGATCTCCTTTGAGGGATTTTGATAATTATCACTAAATTATCACAATTTTGACCAATATCTAAAGGTTAAGAATGTTTCGGAGAAATGACCCACAAATATGAATTGATGAGAAAGAACGAAAGAATTGTTGCAGAAATTCTGAAACAAAGTGCTCTTTTGAATGTGGACTCATTTTTACTCACATTCACTATTTATTTCTTCATTTCAAAGCATCAAACGTTCTTCTTATTAACGAGACGATTGAAACGTAATTCAGACAATTTCGTTTGTTGTTGAGTCATTTGAGCAGCCGGCTCGTCGACGATCAGAGTGTCCTGCATGCATTCCCCAGAACAGAACCCAGACCATCCACATTTGGCAAAGCAATGTGTTCCCGGTGGGCAATGAACGTCTTCACACTGAAATTTTGGGACAATCAAAAAACAACAAGCCCTTATAAAAAGCATGAATAAACTGTAACTTATTATTTTGAAAGAGTTTAGACTCTCGAAGTGTCATTGTTTTTATCTTGCACAAATTGCTTTCCCAAAAGTAAGTTATGTTGGTTTGCACCGCTTCACTTTTCCGTATTCGATTACGATATTCTTCGAAAGTCTTTACGTTGTAGAAAACTCTTATTTAAGAAAGTACGCCTTTCATTTAATCATCTAATCAGAAGAATTAAAGAATTTGATTTAAAGAGGCCTAGGCTTAAGCCTACCGAAACCCAAATAGACTTAGTGCGAGGCGCTAGCCGCTAGGCTTCGCATGGTGTTAAGAAATGGGGTAATTCCTTTGTTATGATTAAAGATACAATAGTTAACAACAACAACAATAGCAATAGTTAAAGGTAAACTTCGTAAATTGTTTACCAAGGCAAGTAATGAAAAAAAATTAGAACAGAGCCCTCTGGATAACTTCAAATGCTTTAAAAAAGAGTTTACTTTCAAGTTGAGCCTTTAATAAGCCTAAGCCTGAGCCTAAGCACTAAAAGCCTAAGCACCAAGCCTAAGCACCAAGCCTAAGCACTAAGCCTAAGCACTCACACCATCAGCCGATGTCGACGAGAAAACGGCGAAGAGGAGAACGAAAACGAGAAGAGACTTCAACATTTTTTTTGAGAGAATTGAACAATTTGAGAAAGTTCTCTTTCTTTATATAACCCTTTTTGAGAAACACTTCTTGTATTCTCTTATCAGTTTTGTTTCTGATGAAAGTGATGAAAATTTCTTTGAGTCCATTGAGAGGAAACTCCCAAACACATTTTGATTACTTCTGGGTACAGAAATTGAGTTTTCTTTCAAAGATCGAATGGTTTGAGTGGAAAATAAGATTTACTCAAAACTTTATTCAATAAAGAACGTTTTCGGAAATGTAATTGAGGTAATCTCTAGGCGTTTGCATATCATTTAGATCATTCTCATCGATCTCAATCCTAAAATAACATTAATAGTTTAATAGGGAATCTACAGGGTGGCTGATAAGTGTGTGCAATTTTTGCTATTCTACATCGCAGAAAGTAGACGATTTACTCTCGTTCAAAGCAATCAATATGTGGCTAAAATATCCGTATCAAGTGTCCCACAATCGGGTAAATATAAACTCATAGTGAATCTCTCTATTATCTCGAGGTTAAGAGACTATTGTCTCTCTTAACTAGGCAGTACTTTTCTTCTTTTGTGGATCAAAAGTCAGAATTCACCCAGGAAAAAGTGTTTAGCACAATTCTGGTACAAATTCAGTATTTGAACCATTCAGTAATTTCTCAAATTCCATTTTATATTTACATAGTCGTTAAGTATACATATTTTAAAGTTTACGTTTGTTTAGTTTTCGACTTTTTTACTTTTTTTTCTTTCAATACTTACTTTCAATACTTTTATTTGCTTTAATACTGTCTTATTTTAGGAATGGCGATGAACAAACGAAGAATTCTCTCTTGTGCAGAAAGCTTGTTACTAGTAGTATAACAGAACTCTACATAGCGGAAAGCTTTATATAACGGAACTCTATATATCGGAAAGCTTTATATAACGGAACTCTATATAACGGAAAGCTTTATATAATGAAATGGAATTTTGGTCCCGGTCGATGCTAAGCTATTTTAAATATAAAAAATAAACTCTATATAGCGGAATTCTATAAAATTAAAACTCTCTATAACGAAGGAAAAATTTGAAACCGCTTATATATTCCGGACCACTCCATATAACGCAATATTCAGTCATCAAATTGTTGTTGGATCTCACTAATTTATTGCTAATCTCTTCAATATTATAATAATAATACTTTATTCAAACGATAAAGTGAAAGAAATCATAGAGAAATGCACAGTGATACTTAATCATACAATACATACTGAAATCAATAAGCCAATTACTTACGGCAAAGAGCCACTAGATCTAAAGCATCGATACGTTTCTTGAATATGAAAAGCGACTGAATTTCTCGTATGTCGTTTGGGAGCAAGTTCCATAATCTAGCGGCTCTAACGGGAAATGAATTTGATAAAGAGGCATTGGAAGCAAAGGGAATTTGCAAAAGGAATGAGCCACTTCTGGGCCCTGACCGCGGTTTAAATTTGAAAAAGTCTATAAGCAAAGGGCTAATCTGTTTACAACGGAGGATTTTGAAAGTTTATGTTATATTTTATATTTACATAGTCGTTAAGTATACATATTTTAAAGTTTATGTTTGTTTAGTTTTCGACTTTTTTACTTATTTTTCTTTCAATACTTACTTTCAATACTTTTATTTGCTTTAATACTGTCTTATTTTAGGGATGCCGACGAACAAACGAAGAATTCTCTCTTGCGCAGAAAGCTCAACTTATCGAAGATCAACGAAGAGGAAAATACACGAATGATGAAATTCAAGCCAAGCACGGATTGAAATAGATTGCTTTTTATGAGATATTGGCACAAAGCGAATGAATATTAGAAGAAGCTTCGATTTCATCGCCATCAATCAAAAGTGCCCGTGTAGCGAAGGACGAAACTTTAGAAGAGGCAATTCTATTCAAGTTTCAAGGAGGAAGCCGCCGAAATTCTCCAATTAGTTTAACAAAATTGGTACAATTGCATTGTTTTTATTAGGAATTGATTTTTAGAAATGAATAAAACACTCATGTAAATGCATTAAAAAACGGAAAAAAATTTTGTGCTTGAAATTCTCTAAATATACACTACGACTACGACATATAAAGTCATGGGCAAAAGTCTTTTAACGTTGGTTTTCTGAAGTTTATTTTTCGTATATCTTGGTCCAAATTCGACCAATTTGCAAACGAATAAAACACTTATGTAAATGAAATTGCATTGAAAGACGCCGTTTAACCGAAGAAAATTTTGGACTTGAGATTCTCTTTATATAACAGAAATTTCATCTAATGGAAAGCTCTATATAAAGGAAAACTCTATATAACGAAAAAGCTCTATATAAAGGAGAAGGTCTATATAACGGAAAAGCTCTAAATAAAGGAAAAGCTCTATATAACGGAAAGCTCTATATAAAGGAAAGCTCTATATAACGGAAAAGCTTTATATAACGTTTTTTTGGTCCCTTCCATTCCGTTATAGAGAGATTCGACTGTAAGTAGAAAGAATGGACAAAGATGAAAAAAAAAAGATGAACAGCTTTAAGTATAAAGCTCGAATTTTGGCTATAAAACTCATCTTTATGCGTAATTTTTTTGAAAACTGCTTTTTTTTTGAAATTTTTCTCATAAAAGTAACTCAAATTGGTTACATCAATTTTACAACTCTTTTTGTGTAATTGAAATGCTTTATCTATATGTCGTAGCCGATTATTGTATGAAATTTTTTGGTAAATCTTTCTAGTAGAGCAAACCTTTAATGTATGAGGACAATATTATATCATCCTGTAGCGAATTAAATTCTGCGTCGATTGGTACCAAATTTGTGAGTTTAGGTTAAAAATTACCGGCGCTACAACGTTTCATTCAAAATCGGCGGGACCCCCGTAGCCGATTATGAATGAGTGGGTCTAGGAGCGTCCAACCATCAAGTATTTGGTATCATTCAACGCAGAATCATTAATAATTATGTTAAATTTTTAAAACTAGAAAGATTTGATAAAAAGAAAAAAGATTAGAGCAAAAAAACTGTTTGTTCAAGAGGAAACTTTGAGGCCCCATAATTTTTTTTCTTTTTATCAAATCTTTCTAATTTTAAAAATTTAACATCATTATTAATGATTCTGCGTTGAATGATACCAAATACTTGATGGTTGGACGCTCCTAGACCCACTCATTCATAATCGGCTACGACATATACATCTAAATCTATCTAAAGCTAAGTATATTAAAGCTCGCATAAAATACTACAAAAATTTCATTGAGATCGATTTATTTGAATATGTTGCAATGAAAAATGATGCCTTTTATTTGAAAATTGCTTTGAAATTGAAGCAAAGGAAATCCTCAGCCTTCTATCGCCGCCTTTATCCCGCATTCGATACAGGCACCAACGAAAAGAATGGAAACACAGAGGAATTTGTGATCGAGGATCCATTTGCAGAAATCATTTATCACAGCAGGTATTATTCCCTAAAGTTGGTGATAAGCATTGAATTTTCATCTGCTAGCTAGACTTGTGTTACGGTTGGCTCTTTTTGGTTCGGTTTCGGCTTGGGTTGAACCGAAAAGATGAGTCTTTCGGCTCGGTTCGGTTCGGTTCGGTTCAACCGAAACCGAAACCGAAACCGAAATCGAAACCGAACCGAAAAAGAACGTTTCCGGTTCAACCGAAACACAAGTCTACCGCTAGTCATGTGGTAATGTGGTCAGTCTGTCGGCCTCTACCCAAAAATTTTACGATCCGTTCTTCGGTATTGCTCGGTTTCCGGCTGAGTTCTGACCCCGGTCAGGCACATTTTATTTAGATCTATAATTTTCCTGGCTTATCACAGCTCGAGTGTCCCACGAGCAAAACTTTGGGCCCGGCTCGGCCCAAATCCGCCCTGGGCCGGGGTCGACCTGGGTCGCCCTTTGTACACTAATGTTTTTTTGTTAAATCCCGAGATTTATTTGTATTTGTAGACGTACAACTTGGGTCAGCTCGGGTCGTTTTTTGAACACACTACTCAATTTCGCATGGAAATCCCGAGTTTTAATACTAAATTGTGCACGTATAACATGTAAGATGTTCATACAAAATACTATGTACAGTTCCAAATCCGCCCTGGGCCGGGGCCGACCTGGGTCGCCCTTTGTTCACTAATCTACTTCTCTTTTCTGTTAAATCCTGAGGAGTATTGCTAATTTGTAGACGCAAAACTTTGGGCCGACCCGAGTCGTTCTTTATACACACTACTACCCATTTCACATAGAAATCCTCGAGTTATAATGCTAAATTGTGCATGTAGAACATGTAGGATGTTCATACTGTGCACATAATAGAAATGGGAAAATTTCAACCCGAACCTAATTCCACCTTCGTTTTCTCAGCTGTCTCTTGGCCGATTGCTCTGAAATTTTGTCTACAAGCAGAGAATGCCAATTTTTATTTGTAAGCAAAATTTCAGAACAATCGGCGAAGAGACAGCTGAAAAAAACGAAGGTGAAATTGGGTTCGCGTTGGAATTTTCCCATGTCTAATACATAGTATTTAATGTATGCCAAAAAAGACACTTTTCCAAGAACATGTTTGTAATTTGTACGGAACAATCCTAACACCACCGGTTTGGGCCGGGCCAGAGTCCGGTCAAGATTGAAAATCGAACAGTGTGCTTTTGTTACTCTATTCAAGCTTTGATGAAATTGGTTATTAGATATCTTGTTATTAATTCTCACCTCTTTCACTACAGGAAGTTGGACAGTTTGTGCGAACACTGATGTCAAATGATTACAAAGAATCAGCAGAACGAGGGCATGACGAGGATTGAAAAACATTTTGAGACGAACTCTTTTCATTTTCTAATCATAGCACAATTTATATGATTCATTATGATCTTTTGTATTCCATTCAATCATCCATTCCATTGGATTTTCCCCAATTTAGCTTCAAAAACCCGAAAGAAAATTCAATTTGGCTTTTTCTTTATTTAGATACTACAAATAGATATTCTGAATACAAATCTCTGATCTCTATTGATCAAAAAGTTCCCCACACACTTGTAAATGATTCATTTTCTAAATGAAAACTGAAACAAAATTTCCCGTATTTTATAGTATAAGCTGAAATTCTAAAAAATTTCTATTAGAGAAAATACGGTAACATGTTTTAAGAGGTGATTGATTTATCCGCGCAGCCATGCAGGGGCTCTTGATCTGAAGCGGTGCACTCGACGCCTTTCGTTTCGAATCCTATGGATTCTGTGGCGTCGTCTTTGCCCGCTAAACTAGCTCATTTGGATAATGTATTAGGTTAGCCCATATGAGCCTTTATTTACACTTTAATTTCTCGAAAACTAAACAACAAGTCTTCTCGTAAGTCAACAACAGCAACAACAAGGCTTCTCGTAAGTCAACAACAACAACAAGTCTTCTCGTAAGTCAACAACAGCAACAACAAGGCTTCTCGTAAGTCAACAACAACAACAAGGCTTCTCGTAAGTCAACAACAACAACAAGTCTTCTCGTAAGTCAACAACAACAAGTCTTCTTGGTAAGCATGAAAAGTACGAGTTTTTCTTTTCAGTCCATTAAGCTAGATGTTCCTCATTGTTGAATAAAGATTTCGTCTAATCAGTTGTTTGGTTTTCAAGAACGATTCTCCTCTAGCACTTCTACTTCATCATTTACTCACCGTCGTCGTTGTTGGGTTCGAATTCGGTGACCCCTTCTACTACGTTCCTCGCGAACACTAGATTAGAATGTATTAGAAAAATTTTCATACTAATCAGCATTTTTTTTGATCAAAATTCACGAAAGAGAAGGATAGGAAAAGAAGCGAAAACAGTTTCGATGATCAAATTCGAAAATTTCTACTTGGAGTTGCTTGAAAATTCTTGATCTTTTTGCACCTTTCAGATTATATCTTTGTACCACTGATGATCAGAGTTTCCGTGGTGATCATTTTGAGTTTTTGATTTAAATCCCAACTTTCAGGACAATTAGTGGTTCGATCAAGAACGCCTCCACGAATTCGTTTCCATCATTTTCTACAAACTTTCTTAATATTTTACCAGTTGTTTCTTATTATTTGATGATGAAACATGTGTAACTTTGAGGAGAATTCAGTTTTTTCTATGTGGAAACATGATTTGAAAATACCGTCACGACTTATTGTTAGTTGACAAGCAGATATTGGACATGAAAACCGTTTCGAATCGGTTTTTCGGTTTGGTTCTCGATCGGTTCCAAATATGTATATATACTTTATCCGACAAGGAAAAGTGACAATGCAAACAGATTGAACAGCGTAGACGAAGAAAGATAATTGATATACAAACACAACTACAATTAGACACGCGTATTACATATACATATCTTGTACAGGGTGGCTGACAATTACGTGCGCGCAGCATCAGCATCATAGTTTTAAACAATGTATAAAGCATTACTACTCATCTTTTTGTGTTTTAATATTCTTTTTATCGTGGTCTAATAATTTTTTGTTTGACGTTTGTTTGTTTTGACGAAGGATCAATGGCCTGCAAACAGCCCGGATCTCAATCCGTTGGACTTTTCGGTTTGGGGTTTTATGGAAGAACAATTGAGAAATAGAAAAATCACCAATTTGAATGATTTACGTCGAGAATTGATCAAAATCTGGAACGACTTAGATGCAAATTATCTCCGCCGCACCGTCGATTCTGTAAAGAAGCGAATTGAAGCCTGTATCAAAGCGGATGGAAGCCACTTCAAAAATTTCTTGTGATTATTAAATGCTTTTGTTACAACTATTATATAAATAAAGATTTTTACATTTTCTTTGAAAGAAAATTAAATTATGGCGTTTTCTTTGGCGCACGTAATTATCAGCCCACCCTGTACAATCCTAATGATCAAATCATGGAAGAGAAACTGGTTCAGATTCGACTCTGTTCAGGTTCGCCTTGGTTTAAATCGGTTCCAGCACCAAATCATGGAAGAGAAACTGGTTCAGATTCGACTCTGCTCAGGTTCGCCTTGGTTCAAATCGGTTCCAGCACCAAATCATGGAAGAGAAACTGGTTCAGACTCGACTCTGCTCAGGTTCGCCTTGGTTTAAATCGGTTCCAGCACCGAACCGAACCAAATTTTGGTTACCAAACCGACTAAAAGTTGATCGGTTCCCAGTTCTATTATCCATTCTTTACAAGTTTCACAAAGGGATTTACAAAGGAAAAATTGAAAAGAAAAACGTGAAAAGCCTTAGGCACTAGACTAATAAAAGGTTTTGATGGAAAATTTTTTAAAAAAAAGACTTACCCAACTTCTGCATTTATCACACACACAAGAAAAGTGATGATTAGAAGAATTAATAGAAGACGCATTTTTCGATTTTAAAAGACGCTAAATAGAGATTTCATTTGAGATTTGAACGGTCATGTTTTTCCCATTGATACTTTCGAAATTTAGTAGATCGAACACGTAAACAAACCCTTTTTATTTGCAAATATGTAGCACTTACACTTACTACTATGTAGAAGAAAGAGAAATTCTCTAAAATCAAAGAAGAAAATAATATCATCAATCAAAGGCTCTCTGTCCGTTTCTTTTCTTTTCTCTTTCCTTTTTGTACGATCTTTTCTTTTCAAGATTTGCTATATTTCACCTCAAATGATGAGTTGTTAATTGTTAATTGTTAATAGTATTGGGTTGATGGAAAAGTCCTTTCCGATTTTTTGGGAGAGTACCTTAAATTTGTCGAATTTTGACGTTTTATAGCTGATCCTAAAGCTGAATTGAAGACGGATCGATTGGTAAAAACCGTTTTGAGATATCTCTTTTCTAAAAGTTTTTACAGCTATTTTAGTAAAGGGCGGCAGAGCCAAAAAATGGCTGTTTTCACGTTTCGTTAGTTTTCCGTGCAGAAACCTAGGCTAAAAACATGTGTTTCGTGATCAGCGTCAAAAATAACCCCTAGACACGCATTTTCAGAATCTTAGCAAAAAATTATTTTTGAAAAATATTGTCACCGGTGGAAGTCGAACCAGCGACTCTCAGATCAATAGCCTTTCCGCCGCTTTTCGCGATCTTCCTTCGTTTTTCTCGTTTTTCTCGTTTTTTTTGTTTTATCATTTTTTTGAATTTTTGAGATTGCCGAGAGATTCCGCTAGTGTCTTTGGAGATTTTAGCAAATTCTAACCAGTTTTAACAAACAAATTTGTTGGTTTAAAAAGCTTGGAGCCGAAACTGAACCGATGGAAGGCTCAATCGGTTTCAAACCGAATTGATTAGATGGCTTTATCGGTTCTGAACTGAAGCGACCAAAAGTCCATCGGTTCCTATGGGTATTGCTTTCTAATGTGGATGCTCCGGATCTGAAAGGCTTCGAATTTGAAAGGCTTCGAATTTGAAAGGCTTCGGATCTGAAAGGCTTCGGATCTGAAAGACTTCGGATTTGAAAGGCTTCGGATTTGAAAGGCTTCGGATCTCCTTTTGGCTGAAATGGCTGAAATGAAAGGCTGAAAGGCTCCTTTCGAACTCAACCCAGATCTGGGCGTTTTTCATCAAGGTCGATCCGATCCGGAATGTCGCGATTACGGATCGGATTATTGTAGATAACCTCTAGAGTGAAACAGTCGACTGGAAAGATTTTATGACTGATCTCACAAATATCTTTCCGAAATTCTCCTTACTCGTGTAATATCCAAAAGATTTCTTATCCTTTCACCTCTATTTTTTTTTGATAAACGCTTCAAGCCGTTTAACCTCGAAAAGTTTAATTATATTCTGTAGTAATCATATGCTGTAGACAAGGATTTATAAGAGCAAAACAATCCGATTCGAGTCTAGAAAATCGGGAAATTTCTCCGGATTATTAGAATCTGAAAGAGTAAAATTTTGTTTTTCAATCGTGCTTTTTTATTTTTCAAATTTTCAAATTTTCAAATTCACTTTTTCCAATCCAGCCCTAATTGGTTTTTTGATGAAACTTTTCACAAGTTTTATTGGTGAAAAGAAATCGATTTACCTAGCAGTGTTGCAGCAATAATGATCACTAGAATATGAGCATGATAATCTCGCCAAATGAGACGCAAAATTGCGATAAACATCACGAAAATCGTCATCAAAAGCTTGAAAATAGATTGATTCAATGAAATGTTTACTTTCATTTCTTGTAAATTAATATCTTTGCAATTGTATTTGAAATTGTATAGTTTCAAAGCCAAAATTCAAATGGATAAAGCTTTCAATTTCAAAACTCATAAGTGGCTGTTTCAGCTGCAACACTTCGAAACTATGAAAAGCGATTCTTACTGTGAATAGGGCTGCACGAGCTACCTCTGTTTACATGTGAAAATGGCTGGAAACCATTTTTGCAGCAATAATGATCACTAGAATATGAGCATGATAATCTCGCCAAATGAGACGCAAAATTGTGATAAACATCACGAAAATCGTCATCAAAAGCTTGAAAATCGATTGATTCAGTGAAATGTTTACTTTTATTTCTTGTAAATTAATATCTTTGAAATTGTATTTGAAATTGTATTTGAGATTGTATAGTTTCAAAACCAAAGTTCAAATGGATAAAGCTTTCAATTTCAAAACTCATAAGTGGCTGTTTCAGCTGCAACACTTCGAAACTATGAAAAGCGATTCTTACTGTGAATAGAGCTGCACGAGCTCCAGTACTGGACAATGAAATATGATATTTGAGAAAACGATCGTCACTTTCGCGCGTCTGTAACTCCCGTGTCTTTGAGTTTAAACTATTAGTGTTTAACATTTTCTGAAAGCTCTTTTCAAGGGCTACACAATGGTAATATTAATATTTATAAATACGGTAAAGACAATGGAGTTACAGACGCGCGAAAGTGACGATCGTTTTTTCAAATATCATATTTCATTGTCCAGTAGTGTATACTATGGATACGTAGGAAAACCCCTCGTCATCTTCCCAATCAAACAACATAACTTTCATGATTTCTAACGTACCTCTGTTTACATGTGAAAATGGCTGAAAAAAGCTATTTTTGCTCAAAAATCTCGCAAAAAAATTGATTCTATGCGTTCAAAAATCTTTTTCTGAACACGATTTGGAGAAAGCAAAGAGAATGGAGCTGTGTTTGAATGAAAAAAAATCCCCGTGCTTTTTCCAGAACTTTCACCGCTTATCTTTTTGTCAAATCTTTTCTCGGATTGACAGTGTCTTGGCTTTTCCCAAGAGAAACATTATATTTTTTATAAAATTTTGAAAGAAATTGATTTCACATGATCGGTCAAATTTAGTCATACCTACTTTTTCGCGATTTTGTTCCCACGCCTCTTCTGAAAGTGTGTCGCTTTGAAGGGTTCGACTGATAAGATAGTGGTTTGAGCTTTTCTTCGTAAACTTTTCTATCTCCCACTCTCTGCTTGGGTTATTTTTTGAATACAAATTTAACATGATATAAATGGAGTTGATTTAATGAGTCATTAATTACCGTATTTATTCTTATAGAAGCACAATCTCTAATAGATTCTCTAATAGAATCTCTAATAGAATCTCTAATAGATTCTCTAATAGAATCTCTAATAGATTCTCTAATAGAATCTCTAATAGATTCTCTAATAGAATCTCTAATAGATTCTCTAATAGAATCTCTAATAGAATCTCTAATAGAATCTCTAATAGAGTCTCTAGTAGAGTCTCTAGTAGAGTCTCTAATAGATTCTCTAATAGAATCTCTAATTGAATCTTTAATAGAATCTTTAACAGAATCTCTAATAGAATCTCTAATAGAGTCTCTAATAGATTCTCTAATAGAATCTCTAATTGAATCTTTAATAGAATCTTTAACAGAATCTCTAATAGAGTCTCTAATAGATTCTCTAATAGATTCTCTAATAGATTCTCTAATAGAATCTCTAATAGAGTCTCTAGTAGAGTCTCTAATAGAATCTCTAATAGATTCTCTAATAGAATCTCTAATTGAATCTTTTGAAAGCTTGACTTTAAACCGCCTTTTGATCCCTCTATCAATAGAACTAAATAGAATTATTATGGTCATTAAAATTGTGGGTGATTTTAAAGATGCACATTCTATCGTACTTTTTCATTCAGTCATCTCTGTGTATCTATTCCCTCGTTTTATTACACCTAATTATGTATTACTGGAATACTTCTTTATTGGATAATACAGGGTGGCGCAAAAGTCCTTGCACCAAAGCAGGTATGACTAAATTTGACCGATCATGTGACATCAACTTCTTTCAAAAGCTTCTTTAAACCGCCTTGTGATCGTAAAACAGGTACTCTTTTCCTGATGAGGTTAGAAAAAGCTCTAAAAACAAGATTTGCTTGTTGTCTTTGATTTGATTTATCTTTGATTTGATTTATCTTTTATTAGATTTATCTTTGATTTGATTTATCTTTTATTAGATTTATCTTTGATTTGATTTATCTTTGAACAAGCCTAGAAAAAGATCATCTTGATTGATTAAAGCCTTGAAATTAGCTTTTTTTTTCTTTTTACAATCACTGTTTTATTCGTCGCTTTGCTATTTTCTTCAAAAATACCTTGTGCGACAAGATGCTCATTAAAAAAAGATGTTTACACATGGACTTTTTGGGTTGCTAGGGAAACAATCTATATTTTATTTACAGGAAAGAAAGTTCTCTTTGTCATTTTTTTTGTGGCAGCTGCTCTTTTCAAAGCAAATGATCACTTGGAAAACTCAAAGACGACATATCGGGAATTTGATCTTTTGGATTTTATTCTGCTTTCTTAGCTGGCATTTCTTTGACTCTCATTTTCAAAATCAGCAAAAGCAAGAAACGCAAAATGACGCGAATTTGGATTTAAAAGTATGTTCACTATTTTTTTTTTTCAAAAGACAAAAAGAAAGTTGAAAGAATTTCTTTTAACAATCAAATCCTACATTTTCTAGTAGAACTCATTTCGTTTTATTTTTTTTTTTTTTTTTGCTTGAAAACAATCAGCCAAAAAAAAACTTTCTCTTTAAACACAAGCAAATTAGCCAACAGGAAAAATATAGGCTTAAAGTCTGAAAAATCTTTAGTTGATTTCATTTTATATCAACTAATATGAAGTCTACATAAAAATTGAATAAAATTTAATAGGATTTGTCGAGTTGTTTCGAAAAATTTCTGAAAATTGATGAGAATTTGGGAAGCTAGATAGCTCTATCATTAGTACTTCCAGTGTTGGGAAAAAAATTTGACGTTCTATGAAATAAACAAGTTGTTCCCTAAAACGATCGTTTATAACTTGCCAATCTAATCATTAGATTGAGTTGAAACTCTTTAAAATAGTTTTTCCACAAAAGCAAAGCTTATCTTTCTTAAAAAAATGTGCTTACATTAGTTAGCAAATGAACTAAAACGAACAGGAAAAATATAAAAAAAAAACAATCAAATCCTACATTTTCTAGTAGAACTCATTTCGTTTTATTTTGTTTTTTCTTTTGCTTGAAAACAATCAGCCAAAAAAAAACTTTCTCTTTAAACACAAGCAAATTAGCCAACAGGAAAAATATAGGCTTAAAGTCTGAAAAATCTTTAGTTGATTTCATTTTATATAAACTAATAAGTCTACATACAAATTGAATAAAATTTAATAGGATTTGTTGAGTTGTTTGAAAAAATTTCTGAAAATCGGTGAGAATTTGGGAAGCTAGATAGCTCTATTAGTACTTTCAGTGTCCTTCACGTCCTTCACCAGAGTCCGACCCTCAGAGTCCTTCACGGATTCCTCCACAATTCATCCCCTACCCAAGAAGGTACCCCCTACCCCTTTTAAGCATGTTTTTCTAAATTTCATCATTCATTGATTAGGAAATTCATTTAGACAAAACATGAGCCATTGCGTTCCGACATTTGGCAAAATCAACATCTTCATAGCTTACAAAGCTGGAGCACTCAAGGAGTGGGTTCGTTTTCGAGTGTTATGGTGTACTTTTCGAGTGTTATGCGGTACTTTTCGAGTGTTATGGTGTACTTTTCGAGTGTTATGGTGTACTTTTCGAGTGTTTTTTCCATTTCAATGAGTAATTCCAGTCACTACCATGTAGCTCTTTCATCGTGGAGATGCTACTTAAAAAGCACTAACTATACGTTGGTTCTCGTCGACGTCGACAATGATCCTCGTGTCACTTCGAAATGCAGTCAATATAAAGAGGCTTGTAATAAAGAATCATTTACTATAATTTTGAAAAGTTTTATTTATGTCTATGTATTTTTCGCTCTATTTTTGACCTATCCAATTAGTTACGCAAAAATGTCTCTTTTTTAAAAGAATTTGGCTATGGTGTACAGTGTAGGTGTATGGCTATGGTGTAGTTAGAGTTAGAGTGTAATTTGGCTATGGTGTAGTTAGAGTTAGAGTGTAATTTGGCTATGGTGTAGTTAGAGTTAGAGTGTAATTTGGCTATGGTGTAGTTAGAGTTAGAGTGCAATTTGGCTATGGTGTAGTTAGAGTTAGAGTGTAATTTGGCTATGGTGTAGTTAGAGCTATGGTGTAGTTAGAGTTAGAGTGTAATTTGGCTATGGTGTAGTTAGAGCTATGGTGTAGTTGGAGTTAGAGTGTAATTTGGCTATGGTATAGTTAGAGCTATGGTGTAGTTAGAGTTAGAGTGTAATTTGGCTATGGTGTAGTTAGAGCCTGTCACTGACAATAATTAATGTTTGATCGCGAAAAGTTTAAGAAAAGTTCAAGAATGGAAGAAAATACTAAGATTCGAAGGGATCGAAGCACTCTTTTCCGCCTCTTCTCATTCAAAAGTCTCACCTAGAAGCTAGACTTTGTTTTCCTTTTTTAGATATGTTTTTTTCCCTTTTGTCCTCCCCTCCAAGATAATGCTTTTTCAAATCGCAAAGGAAATCGAATCTAAAAAGCAAAGAATCTAAAAAGCATTGTATTTGATTATTTTCTGGGTTGAAATTTCGGTGTTCGATGAACCGAACCGGGCTAGAATCAAAAAAAATACATCGGCTATCTAGTGAATGAAAAAAAACAATACTGAAGCTCGTTTAGTTCATGTTTCTTCGACATTGTGCTTTGTTGCAGTATATGAGCGAGGCCGATTGGACTATTGCAATGGATGCGGATACTGGTTAGAAGCTAGAGATTTTTCGATAACTAGATAACTATGCAGTAAATACTAGCCATAACTTAGTCTCCTTGGGTCGATGGTAAAGATCTGCCATAGGATGTCAAAAAGTAAAGCAAAAGAGATGAGCTGAGAAATTTGATAGAAAATCTCGAGTTCTAAATTGCTTTTTCAAAATTATTCAGCCAAAATTATTAGTTTTTAATGTTCTTAGAAGGATTGTAGGTCTAAATCTAATAAAAATCTAAATAGGATTTTAAAAGAGGGATGGCTGATAGCTGATGGCTGATAGCTGATAGCTGATAGCTGATAGCTGATAGCTGATGGCTGATAGCTGATGGCTGATAGCTGATAGCTGATAGCTGATAGCTGATAGCTGATGGCTGATAGCTGATGGCTGATAGCTGATAGCTGATAGCTGATAGCTGATAGCTGATGGCTGATAGCTGATGGCTGATAGCTGATAGCTGATAGCTGATGGCTGATAGCTGATGGCTGATAGCTGATGGCTGATAGCTGATGGCTGATAGCTGATGGCTGATAGCTGATAGCTGATAGCTGATAGCTGATAGCTGATGGCTGATAGCTGATGGCTGATAGCTGATAGCTGATAGCTGATGGCTGATAGCTGATGGCTGATAGCTGATGGCTGATAGCTGATGGCTGATAGCTGATGGCTGATAGCTGATGGCTGATAGCTGATGGCTGATAGCTGATAGCTGATAGCTGATGGCTGATAGCTGATGGCTGATAGCTGATGGCTGATGGCTGATAGCTAATTAAATAAAACGACAAATCAAATTAGACCTTTTTACTTGTATTTCATCCAACTCTGAGCCGTTGTTTTCGGCTGAAAACTTATTGTTATTCGAGAAAAAAAAAGCGATGACCCAGCTATTGGGCAGCTATTGGGCCAAGTCGCGTGAGGGCCCAAATTAGGCCCAAATAATTAGCCCAAATTTCTTCAATCTTCAATGTTCCAGGTGTGATCAACCCGGAGCATTGTATCGAAGAGTACATCGATCCGAGAGTCCCACTGATCTTTCACCAACGATTCCACAACTACGAAATCGCCGCCGATACATTTATTGTACTTCTGAATTCGTTCTTTTTTTTTCCTTGAATTATCAAATGTTTTAGGTGAAAAACTCAACTTTTGCTAGAAATTTCATCAAAGAGTGGGCCGATTGGGATTTTCGGAGGCCAAAACTTCAATTCGACAATCGGGACAACGGCGCGTTACATGTGAGTCGTTCAAAGTAAAAGCAGCGTCAGATTTGGCGTCAGAAATCATGAAAGTTATGTTGTTTGATTGGGAAGATGACGAGGGGTTTTCCTACGTATCCATAGTGCCTTATAGTTTCTACAAGTTTTCAGAAAATTTGACAGCCAAATTGGTACAGTGCTGTCGAGGCTTCTGCGAGCTTGACTAGCACAAAGTAGAGTCAGCTTTAGGCTAAAAGCTTAAGTTTGACTTCCCCAATTTCTTAAGTCTGGCAAGATGAAGGAATTGGCAAGAAAAAGCAGTTTAGGTATAGTTTTTGGTGACCAAAGTACTTGATGAACTAGATAAGGGTCGAAGAATTGGTTTTATCAAATTCTTCATTCATTTGTAACATTTTGATGATGAGCGCTTGGTTATAGCTATAGAAGTTCTACTGTTTTCTTGTAGATAAGTGCCAAGACTGATCCATTAGACCATACCTCACAGGCATACAGTACTGGACAATGAAATATCATACTCGAAAAACGATCGTCACTTTCGGGAACTCCCTTGTCTTTGAGTTTAAACAATTAGTGTTATACATTTTCTGAAAGCTCTTTTCAAGGGCTACACAATAATAATATTAATATTTAGAAATACGGTGTTTTTTGAAATACGGTGTATTTTCAAAACTGTTTTTCTTTATGATCGAGTGCTGGAATCGCTCTGAAACTACGATTTTCGGAATCTACGCAAAAATTTACCTTAGAATGATCAATATTTTAAAATTTGTATTGTATCAAAATTGTATCAAAGTTTTATAGCGAAAAAAAGCACATTTGCGAAATTCTCACCTCTTGAGCGTCGCATTCAGGGAATAATGGATTGTCCAGTACTGTATATACCGTAAATACTGTAATAGTACCCCACCCGCCTCGTACAGTCGCGTAGTCGCAAAAGTTTTTTAGTATTTCATTTTTTTTCAAAGCGCCCGTACTTTCAAAAAAATGCGTCTTTGGTATCAAAAAATAGCCCTGAATTTCAGCTATTTTTTGATACCTAAGCGGGCATTGTAGCATAAACCAGTGTCGAAAAAAGCTCGTTCAAAGCTAGACTACGCAAAACTCCGCACCGTCATTATGGGAGTGGGGTACTATTACAGTATTTACGGTAGGTATTCCCAGGGTCATTTGAAATCATCTATCTTGTCAGAATAGTACTTTTAGTCTTTCCGTTTTGGTAAAACTCTAAAAGACTAATGATCTTTTTTACTTGCTCACTGTTTTGCCATATCAATTGATTTTGCAAGTCTTGCAAGATCTTGTAAGATATTGTAAGATTTGTTTCCCTCTAATTTGTTAGCGAAATTTGGACCCGACTTGCCTCTTTTCTATAATTTAGCTGGACAAAACTCTATCGAATGACCCTAAAATTTGACAAGCCTATAAAAAGTTATGGTCAAATGGCATTGTACACCTCAGCTATGCAGCTACGAGCAAAATTCGTAGATTGCCAACGGCAAACGGACCGAAAAAGCGGCGAGCAAACATGGCTGGGTATGACTGCGAATTTTGCTGTTTTGCTGTTTTGCTGATGGTTCAGCTGTTTTATTTCGAAAAGATTCGTCTTTTGTATCAAAAAAAAAAATAGCCCTGAATTTCAGCTATTTTTTGATACCAAAGCGCGCATTGTAGCATAAACCAGTGTCGAGAAAAGTTCGTTCAAAGCTAGACTACGCAACACTCCGCACCGTCTTTATGGGAGTGGGGTACTATTACAGTATTTACGGTATGTATTAGTAATTTTGAATTTAATGGGAACTGATTAATGGTTGCTAATTCTTGAATTGTATATAACTTGTTGTGACCGGATCCTATCGCCTGATCGGATCCTATCGCCTGATCGGATCCTATCGCCTGATCGGATCCTATCGCCTGGTCGGATCCTATCGCCTGATCGGATCCTATCGCCTGGTCGGATCCTATCGCCTGATCGGATCCTATCGCCTGGTCGGATCCCAACATAACATATATAAAGATGCAATTGCTCGAGACGATTTTCAACGAGACAGCCCCAAATGCTGTTGAGATGTGTCGCGAGATCTGGGTGACTCATACCATCGATATTTGGTCATATTTTGCGATGGTACAATGTGCAAAGATGATGATGGGTTTGTTATTTTGTTGAAAATCGAAAATGTTTACCAAAATGTGTTCAAAGTTTAAAAAAGGTTTCATTTGAAGGTGCGAATCGCTTCTGGCCGGGCAAATTGTTGATTTATCCAAAAGGAGAAGGGATGACAAGAGATGATTGGATTACAAATGACCATGGGACAAAGTGAGGAGAACTTTTCGGAGATTCGTGTGAACTTTTAGAAGTTAAGATTCTCGGATCGAGATTTTCTATTTCATGCCTGGAAACATCAATCGGTTACGCCCACCTCAGCATACTCATTTGAGGTTTATCTATCGAGAAAAGTCAAATGTATGTGTGCTATTAGGTTGGCAAGTTATAAACGATCGCTTGCTTTGTTCAATGATTTCTTAGAATTCAAGAAGATTTTTGCGGGGGTTTTTTTTTCTGTAGAATGCTTTTAAAAAAAATTTCATTTTGAAAAAGTCACCTATCAAATATCCTTCTAGTCTAATCGTAATAGGAATTCAGAAAATCCCCGACGTTGACAAATGTGGAGTGGGCACATTAGAGGGATGGTATTGGCGAAATGGAACGAGAGTCAGTGAAAAGGAGCTTCTCGATCTTCTCCTCAAATCCGAAACATATCACATGAAGTGGCCGGTTGAGCCCCGACAACACCAAGTAAGCATTCGTGGATTCATAGCTGATTCGTGGATTCATAGCTGATTTGTGGATTCAGCGCAAAAACCAGAAGAACTAGAGCTCAGGAAACAAGTTCTACCCCGTTTTTTGGCCTAGGAATTCCCCGTTGAAGTCTGGTTTTCTCTAAGTGGTCTGTGTGTACGGTACTGGGATGGTCCGGCCACAGAAGCTGTACGCGGATTCCCTTGGAAACTGGGTAGAGCTACAATTGACAAAACAGGTGTAAACTACTAGGGAAAGTCTCAGTATCTTCCAGTCAAAGTTCATTTTGTAAAATATGCAAATGATATTGGCCGCAGTGGGAGAATACGCAATCTTTCACATGGCTGACTAATTCCAAACCATTAGGCCAAAGTGTCATCGATTTTGAAGGGAAACATCCGGGGGTTATCGAAAATTTAATACGATGACGAAAACACTTTAGTTTTGAGGGGGTTTTTTTTTTGTTATTGTTGCTTTTGACGTTTTCTCATTCTTTTTGATGGGTATGGCAGATAGAAGAATGAATTTTGTGAGCTCAAAAGAAGAGTGGAACAAAAAGTACTGAATATATTAAGTGGAGGGGATGAAATAAGGATATAATGGTTATCGAGATGGTGGAACGGGAAGGAAATAAAGGCTGGAATATTGGGATGTGACCAAGTATTGAGTGTGTGCATAAGTTCGCTACTACTAAATAGTATTTGTTATTCACCATTTGCCAAGCACTATATATCATTTGAAAGAGCAGTTCAACCTCTAAAAATCCCATAAACCAAAAAGCCACACAATAGCATCTCTATCGACTTTCGAGGCATGTTCTTGTGAGATCTCCTTTGAGGGATTTTGATAATGATCACTAAATTATAAAAATTTTGACCAATAGCTCAAAAAGCTTTCGAAAAAATTGTTGAATTGAGCTTGAAGCCTGAAAATTTCCCCGGCTTTTAGCCTATACATAGCTCTACCTGAAAGCCTTTGAATGTAGTCCTCAGAACTTTAAATGACGCAATTCAGACTGAAACTTCCCAAAAAGAACACCCAAAATGTTCTGGCTTTTGTATTTGTAGATATTAAATAGCTCTTTCAAATTTCAAACACTTGACAAATGACGGACATTATCATGAACGAACGAAAAGAGTTCGGGCTTTTCCTACTTGTTAGGTGTTAGCCGGCAAGTTAGGTAAGAAATTCAGGTTAATTGGCTTCATTTACAGACACGGAAAAGTACGGATATCATTTTATACGAATAAAATGTTGTTTTTATAGAAAGCCCGAGTGATTCCATGGTTCGAAGTCTCCGAACTCAAGCGATGTCATCCGAATTGCATGGATCGGACAAAGCTTTAAACTTGTTTCTGAAACAAAGTGTATGTCTGTATAAATGATTCGCCTCTTCAAGAAGTAAAACACATTCAAACGCAAACAAAGTTTCACAATAATATTTGTAAAATTTGTTTTTCTTTCTTGGAAAAAGGCAATCTTACAAGAAAGAGAATCAATGTCTTATCTTGTTATTCCCTGTTCTTCTCTTTGTTTTACATGTTTTTTAGATTGGTGTAAGTAAATCCCGGGCCAGATTTACGGAAACAGTTGTGCGATCACTTTTTTGTCAAACGTTCTCCAACGGTGTTTCACTAAAAAAGCAGAAACTCGTTGTTTCCCATCTTCTCTTTATTCATCAGACTATACTTATAGTTTTTGATTTCAAATCCCTTCTATATTGCCGTATTTACTTTGATCTTATTTTTTGCTATAATTCTTTTCCACCCTAAGTCATCTATTGAAAAAATTTCATTCGTAATCGGCTAGCCGTTAACGAATGATTCGTAAACGGCTAGCTAGCCGATAACGAATGATTCGTAAACGGCTAGCCGATAACGAATCATTCGTAAACGGCTAGCGAAAAATTTCATTCGTTAGCGGCTAGCCGTTAACGAATCATTCGTTAGCGGCTACGACATATAGTCACCGATAAAAACCTAGAGAAAAACAACCTTGAGGCTAAATTGAGGCTAAATTGAGGGAATTCGGTTACATTTTGAACTTTTAACAATCCGTCTTGAAGTCTTGAAGTCTTGAAAAACCGTCTTGAAGAGTAGTGCGCTAAAGTGCCGTTTTTCTATAGTCAAAATGGCACTTTAGCGTACTTTTCGGTTTTACTGTATAACTCGACTTCCAGTAATCAGATCACTATCTGTTATCGAAAAATAACAAATACTGGGACCTGATAAAACTGAAACTGATAAAATCCAAGCAAGTTTTAAGCCTTTTTGTGGCCTTGATTAAAAGGGCTTATGGGTAAAGGGCCATCTTTAAATTTAATTACGTTCTTTAGCTTTTTTTTTTTGCTTAACTTCTTAGTACGACAACAAAACGCTTTAAATTTAGTCAAATTACACTCTTTAATCTCCAAAATGGTTTCTTTGAGCCTTACCTACATCATTTAAGTTTAATAGACGTAAATTCGACTGCAAAAAGCAAAAGTTTTGACAAAAATACCTTAAAAGAAACAAATTTTAATACAAATAGCAATAAGAAACGAGGAAATAAAAGATAAAGATAAAGATAAAGATAGCTAATACAAATTTGTTCAAGTTTTTGGCTGTAGCTAGTAATAAAGATTTGTTAGTTTAAATTTAACAACTAACTGTTTCTAGAGAGCTCATTCCGTCAATTAAAGTTTGAATCTTATAGATAAATGGGTCAATGGACTTATTTGGATTAAAACTTGCTTGGATTAATGTTTAGTTTCAATTTTATCAAGTCCCACTATTTGTTATTTTTCAATTTATATAAATAAACAGTTAATTAAACTATTTTTGCTGTATAAATCAACCAGCGTTTATCGGGTAAACGGACTCGGCCTGGTCTCCATACTCAGCCGAATTCTGGGGCCAATGTTAGTTTAAACTTAATAATCAATTGTTTCTAGAGAGCTCATTCCACTAATTAAAGTTTGAATCTTATAGATAAATGGATTAATGGACTTATTTTTCCGTTTCTCAGCACGTGTGGCTGACTGGTTAAGTGTCTTTTATCTTAATCGGAAGGTCGAGGGTTCGAACCCCACATGCGACATGGTCACCCCCTTCGGATTTCCTTTCCCTTCGGGTTGAGAGGTTTTCTGGAGGGCAGTCTGGTGGTTGTGGCCCCAGTTCTTTAAAGTGACAAGCCACTCCTTCATCGTCATCTTCCCTTCACCACCAAAAAAGCTATTTAGTTCCCCATTGAGCTTAGGGTTAGGGAGCCGTCTGTCATGACGTGGGTTAAGTTAAGATATAGCCTAGTATTGTGTGTGTCGTTGTATTGTGATTGATATATTTCGTGTATGCGATAAAATTCACCACTGGTAGCCCCAGTCGGTATTTTTTTTTATCCACGAGAATTTTGCTTCCTTGATGTTGTAAATTTTAAATTTTAGCAAATTAAAGTTGCTAAAAAAGTTTTTCCATTAAGTAAACACATTGGATATTTTAGCTACATATTGGTTGCTTTGAACGAGAGTAAATCGTCTACTTTCTGCGATGTAGAATAGCAAAAATTGCACACACTTATCAGCCACCCTGTAGATTCCCTATTAAACTATTAATGTTATTTTAGGATTGAGATCGATGAGAATGATCTAAATGATATGCAAACGCCTAGAGATTACCTCAATTACATTTCCGAAAACGTTCTTTATTGAATAAAGTTTTGAGTAAATCTTATTTTCCACTCAAACCATTCGATCTTTGAAAGAAAACTCAATTTCTGTACCCAGAAGTAATCAAAATGTGTTTGGGAGTTTCCTCTCAATGGACTCAAAGAAATTTTCATCACTTTCATCAGAAACAAAACTGATAAGAGAATACAAGAAGTGTTTCTCAAAAAGGGTTATATAAAGAAAGAGAACTTTCTCAAATTGTTCAATTCTCTCAAAAAAATGTTGAAGTCTCTTCTCGTTCTCGTTCTCCTCTTCGCCGTTTTCTCGTCGACATCGGCTGATGGTGTGAGTGCTTAGGCTTAGTGCTTAGGCTTAGTGCTTAGGCTTGGTGCTTAGGCTCAGGCTTAGGCTTATTAAAGGCTCAACTTGAAAGTAAACTCTTTTTTAAAGCATTTGAAGTTATCCAGAAGGCTCTGTACTAATTTTTTTCCATTACTTGCCTTGGTAAACAATTTACGAAGTTTACCTTTAACTATTGCTATTGTTGTTGTTGTTAACTATTGTATCTTTAATCATAACAAAGGAATTACCCCATTTCTTAACACCATGCGAAGGCTAGCGGCTAGCGCCTCGCACTAAGTCTATTTGGGTTTCGGTAGGCTTAAGCCTAGGCCTCTTTAAATCAAATTCTTTAATTCTTCTGATTAGATGATTAAATGAAAGGTGTACTTTCTTAAATAAGAGTTTTCTACAACGTAAAGACTTTCGAAGAATATCGTAATCGAATACGGAAAAGTGAAGCGGTGCAAACCAACATAACTTACTTTTGGGAAAGCAATTTGTGCAAGATAAAAACAATGACACTTTGAGAGTCTAAATTCTTTCAAAATAATAAGTTACAGTTTATTCATGCTTTTTATAAGGTCTTGTTGTTTTTTGATTGTCCCAAAATTTCAGTGTGAAGACGTTCATTGCCCACCGGGAACACATTGCTTTGCCAAATGTGGATGGTCTGGGTTCTGTTCTGGGGAATGCATGCAGGACACTCTGATCGTCGACGAGCCGGCTGCTCAAATGACTCAACAACAAACGAAATTGTCTGAATTACGTTTCAATCGTCTCGTTAATAAGAAGAACGTTTGATGCGTTGAAATGAAGAAATAAATAGTGAATGAGTAAAAATGAGTCCACATTCAAAAGAGCACTTTTTTTCAGAATTTCTGCAACAATTCTTTCGTTCTTTCTCATCAATTCTTTTGTTCTTTCTCATCAATTCATATTTGTGAGTCATTTCTCCGAAACACTCTTGGCCTTTAGATATTGGTCAAAATTGTGATAATTTAGTGATAATTATCAAAATCCCTCAAAGGAGATCTCACAATAACATGCCTCGAAAGTCGATAGAGATGTTGTTGTGTGGCTTTTGGTTTATGGTATTTGTAGAGGTTGAATTGATCTTTCAAATGGTTGGCAAATGGCAAAGATTGTTATGAACAAATACTATTTAGTAGCGAACTTATGCAGACATTCAATAATTGGTCGCATCTCAATCCTCCAATCGATAAGTACCGTTATTTATTATAGAAAAGTCAGCAAAACTTACGGACAAAACTAGTTTTTTGAAAAATGTCGATTTTCGGGTTTTCGAGGCTCTGGAGCATTGAATTTTTGCATTTAGCGTGTGTCGGCGGTTTGTGAATGCCAGTTTGTAGTGTTACTTATGGGTTATTAAATGCTGCTAATAATAAGATACACGTACATATACTCTCTATATGTACGTGCATCATTAAAGCTTATTTTATTTAAACAATGTGTTCCTTGGTATGTTCTTGGTTACGGCGATAATCGTTTTCCCATCTTTTAGCGGTTTATCTTTGCGTTTTCGCAGAAAAACGGCACTATTGAGGCTGAAACTTGCTTTAGTTATGATCGGAACTAGTACTTGACGGTTAGATCTAAACAAGGCTACATTATAGGCTATAGTACATATATTATTGTATAGTTTAACATAACATAGCTTAGTACAGTAAGTAAAAAGTAAACTATCTTATTACAGGAAAGCATAATATAGTAAAGTATCGTTTAGCCTAGTCTAACAGGCAAATTTTGTGCCGATATAATCGACAGGTACCTCGAAGCTTGAAAATTGGTTCCCAAAAGAGTTCGCCTAGTCAAAAACGTCGAATAGAACGTCGTTAAAACGTCGAAAGTACACAAAAATGTCCCAAATATTGCTGCCAAAGAAAAAGTGAATGATCAATGCCAGGAAAACCGCCACAATTGTGTTGTTCATTACGAGAGTCGATGTGAAAACCATGTAAAGCTTTCACTTATTGGTGCTTTTGAGATCATTCATAAATCTGAGCTTGAGCCAGTATGAGAATTTAATAATCAAGCTCATTCTTTACAAAGTATCAAACTCCGAAGGCTTCTGGAATCTCATTTTCTAAAAAATGCAAAATAGAAAGGTCTTGCCCGGGATCGAACCGGGGACCTTCTGCGTGTGAAGCAGACGTGATAACCACTACACCACAAGACCACCTGCTTCGGGTGCCGACAAACGGGGTAAACTTTTTAGTGTCACCTAACTACCACCAGTACCTAAACCTTCCACTTTTTCCATATAAATCGTTGATTTTTTCCCCCTAAAATATCGAAATTGTATCTTTTACATAAATTGGAATTGGATACCAGCCTTTAT